CAGACAAACTGCCATTCGGGAAGGGGCGCGGGGCCCCTTTCCCACAGCCGGTGCTGGTTCCCGTTTTTTTGTGAGGGATGCCGTTACCTGAGCCTGCCCGCAGAAAAGTAGTGCCGGTTTGGTGGATGCTTATTTCTTTAAATAAAGGTGAACGTCGAATGTAGGAGCGTGGTTTGGTTTGGCTTAACGCTCTGAAAGAACAAAAAGTGACTGAACCGAGCTGAATAACCTGTGGTCAGAATGAAATGGGCTTGTGTAGTTGCACCGGTGTCACATGTGTCTAATGGGCTATCCTGCCAACAGTGGGTTAAAAGGAATGGAGTCATAGAGTGATTGGGGCTGGAAGGGACCTTTAAAGGTCGTCTAGTGCAGCCCCACCTGCAATAAGCAGGGACCTCTTCAACTAGATCGGGTTGCTCAGAGCCCCAGACAGCCTGACCTTAAATGCTTGCAGGGATGGGGCATCTGCCACTTGTCCGGGCAGCAGGTTTTCAAGGAATCACCGTGACATTGCTGGGGTAGGAGCGAAGTGAGGGGAAAAGCGACACCTGTTGAGCGAGCTACAGGAGAGACAAGCAGAAGTGCCCTCTAGGGGTTTTTATAGTTAAAACGAAATGTTAAAAAGACCGTCACGCTGTAGAAAAGGCTAAAAAATGTGCTCTGCTAGTGCTTGAGTAAAGTAACTACAGGCTGGGGAGGAGCAAGAGGTATTGGCAATTGTGGTACAGGATGGTGAGCCTGGTGTAGTCACGCAGGAGAACGGTTAAGCACATGGTGACAGTCAGTTAATATAGGTCTCTCTTGTTCTTCAGGTAAAGCAAATTGAAAAACGAGATTCTGTTTTAACGTCAAAAAACCAAATTGACAGGCTGACCCGACCTGGATCTTCCTACTTCAACTTGAACCCTTTTGAGGTTAGTTTGAACGTTTTATCCTCCCTTCGGACTTGGTATACCAACTTGCAGATTTACTGGGTGTTTATTTCAGTAAAAAGACTCAACCTAAAGAAAGGAAAAAAATGCCTAGATGTATGTTACTGTGCAGAAGGTTTGCAGGAGACAGAAGGATGATGTGTATGTGCTCACTCTCTTCTTCACTGCTTTATGACAGGCACAAACTGTATTTTGACACGTTTCTCATGCAACAGCACTGGAAGTTCTGGCAGATAAATGCTAGGTGTTCTCCGAATGAGAACGTAACAGCTACAAGCCGCACGAGTGTCAGGTTCTGTTCTGAGCACTCTTGACTCAGCATCTCTGGTCGTGTCTTGTGGGATGTTCATTCCACTGAATTTGCGTAGTGCATGGAATGAGAGGGCTGTCGCTTGAGGCATCTCTGGAAAATGGGTAATTCCCAGTTTGATTCCAGTTGCAGTCAGTTACAGAGTATGAACAGGTATGAAAGCCTGAGGAAGACAGTAAATAAAAC